CATAGTTATATGAGTGATATAACAGCTGTATACCAGTAGTAAATCAGGAGTATATGAAGTATATATCAGATATATATCAGTGCTATATCAATGGTATAGTAGTGTTACGAGAGTAAATTTTACCTTTTATTATTTGGACCTCCGCTTTAACCAAAAATTTTGCTATATTTGTACAACTAAAATGGAGATGCTAATTTGTTATTTTCTTAATTTTTTTTTTTGTCATATTTGCAACAACCTCCCTAAAAATTATTATTATTATTATTAGTTTTCCAAAAATTATATATTATCTTACCCTTCCACTCATTTCTTTAATTATGCCCCATTATATACTTTAAAAATGACCAGCGACTTTACATTAATTATTTGTTTATTCATTATATCATTTTCGTATGCTTGTTTATTAGCTAGCTGCGAAATGGATATAATTTATGAAAAATACATAGATTCTAATAATTTATTTCACCAAAGTCAAGTATTTCTATCTAACCTTGTTTTGTCTTATTAGCTTGTCCATATATTTTGGTTTTTGTAGTATTTAAGGGGAAGAGATCCATATTCTAATGTCGAATCCAGAACATGATATATTAATGAATAGATTAGTTGATGAGGTATTTTTTTTTTTTTTTTGGAAAAGAAGGTAGAAGTAGATGGTTATTAATTTGGTCATTGTTTAGGAAACCAATAATCTTAGGTTTAAAATATTAGTGATATTAAGGAAGAATAAACTTTGGAAAAATACATATTAGAGAAAAAATAAAAGTGTGTATCAAAAAAAAAAGTGGGTGACATAATTCTCATTTGGAAATTAATTTTTGGACTTAGAAAAGGATCAATACATCAAAGTTAATAGGACAAAACAAAGTTAGATTGGTAAATTTGTTTCAATTTTAAATTAAACATTATATATTAATTAATAGAGAAGCTAATAAAAGACTTTTGTTTTTATACTTAATGTTAGGGAGGGAGGGGATTCGAACTCACAATCTTGTGGTTGGAAGTATATGTCAATTACCGCTAAGCTAGATTCGCCTTGACAACATGATTTTAAAAGTTAAGTGTTAAAATTAAATTGTCTTTAAAATATTGGGGAATAATTGAAACTTATTTTTTATATAGCTCATGGCCATGTATTATTCCTTTTTTACAATTTATCTGCACATCTTACTTTTGTCTTGGTCTTAACGAAAATGTTAACTGAAGGGTATTTTGGAAAAGATTATAAACGTTTAAAATAATTTAAAATTGTTGAAATAATATAGGAGTATAATTAAATCTTTTAACTGAAAGTTCTTTAACATTTTATACTTGAACATTCAAATGTATAGCTAGTAACGATCTTATTTGGGTTCGATTGTATCCCTTTATAACAACATTTGTAGTATAAGAGACACCCACTTTTTTCTTCAAAAAAAAAAATATATATATAAATTTTAAGTTGAAGTTGAGTGAGGTTAACATTCTTAGTGACACTGCTGGTTAGGACAAGCCTAGAGCTTAATAAAGGTCATGATATTATTTGTCATTTCCTTTTTTTTTTAATTAAAAAGGAAAAAAAGAAATGGATTTGAGAGGTGTACTTTGTTAGGTTGTTGATAATCTTTATCCTTGTTTTTCTTAAAAAGAAAAAAAGAAAAAAAAAGAAAGAAAGAAACATGTTTGGTTGGAGCGGAATAATCGGCTTTTTTTAGACTCATACAAATCCTTTCTCAACCTTTGAGGATATGTAAAGGTCTGTGCATCTCAATGGATATTAAAGTCTCCTTTTTTGTTATTATGATGTAACTACCATTTCTTTTAATTCAAGAGCTTCCCTCTTTTATTTATGTTACTCGCATATTCTAATGAAATGGTTTTATTTTTCAGAAAAAAAAAAGAAATAAAAGTTTTTATATGAAATTAATTTTTTTTTTTTACAAAATATTTTATGTTATATTTCTTTGGTTTGTAAGACGAATGTAAACAAAGTCCCACGTTGGCTAGAGAAGGAAGTGATCCATGTTATATAAAATAGAACAATTATCTCCACTAGTTTGAGGCATTTTAGGTGAAACCAAAAGTAAAGCCATTAGGATTCTGTCCAAAATGAATAATATCATACCATTTGAAGATACTCGGAGTAATTTGGATTACTGCTATCCTAAACGATATGTAATTTATTATTTTTACTATATATTTTAGAAATATAATAATAATTTTATAGAAATACGAACATGTTGTTTCTAAAATTTATCGATAAGATTTTGGAAACCTTTCTTAACATAAGAAACAAGAGATATAAACCATTATCAAACGTTTAGTGTGTTAGAGAGATAACACGCTTCCAAAATGGTATTGTTTTTCTACACATTTTTGCTTTTTGTCCCCTACTAATGGAGATATTATCCTCAATTATATATATATATTCATTATCTTCTTTTTACCTAGCCAACGTTCGACTTTGACGCATCCCCAGAATTTTAACCTCCTGAAATTTCGACTTTTATATTTTATAATGTTGGACTTTGGCGCATCCCCAGAATTATAACGTTCGACTTTTATATTTTATATTTTAGAAGTATAGTTTGTGCAACTTGCAATATTATCACTAATGATGTTATAATAAAGTTGTGTTTA